ATCTTATAATTTTTCATTTGCTTTATCCAACACGATACATACATCAGTCTCAGAATAACAATACTCAATACTTTTAATCCAATACAATGGCTAAAAATAGTTAATTTTTTGGCCTATGTTCTTACTATTCTCTTCCCATTTTAAGAGAAACATTGTACATTGACAGATCATATAACCATTATATTCTGTACTCTCTTCCTTTTAAACTACATATTCCCTTTGTTTTGTAAGTAATTATATAGCTATGCTCAATACTTACCCTTACATCATTTCCTCTACAGACATTTTGGTTTTATGAAGCTCATTCTCTGATAGATACTTCAGTAGAACTCATGGGAACAATACTCACAGAATTCTTACCTGATATTAGTAGTGTGTTTGTGCCTTTATATTTGAAAGGCACTTTTGTGTGATATAAAAGACTAATATTTTCTTCCCTTGAGTATCTTAAATACAATACTCATTGTCTTCTGGCATAAAGATTTGCTGTTGAAAGCAAATTATATTATCTGCTGATAATATATTTTATATTATATATATTTATACATTCATATATTTTATATTATATATAATTTTCTTTTGCTTATAAATCACTTGCTTGTTTTTATCTAGATGTCCAAGGAATTTTTTTATTTTCCTGCAAATTCTAAACTTTGATACAATAATACAATATGTCTTAATGTTGGCCATCTGGGTTGATATTCTTAGGTAAATGATGTGCTCTTTCAATGTATTTTCAAATCTTTATAATTATCAATTTTTTTTTTTTTTTTTTAGATAGAGTTTCACTCTGTTGCCCAGGCTAGAGTACAACAGCCCAATCAGAGCTCACTGAAGTTTGTAACTTCAAACTCCTGGGCTCAAGCAATCCTTCTATTTCAGCCTCCCAAGTAGCTACAACTATAGCACATGCCACTATGCCTAGCCAATTTCTTTTCTTTTCTTTTCTTGTTTTTTTGTAGAGACGGGGTTTCTCTATGTTGCTCAGGCTGGTCTTAAACTCCTGGTCTTAACTGATCCTCCTACCTCAGCTTCCCAAAGTGCTGGGATTAGGAAGTTTCTTAAATTATAGTTTTTAGTTATTTCTTCCACTTCTTTGGTTTCCTTCTGTAGCAGCTCCTATTATAATTATGTTGTATCTTCTTTATCTTCAATATTTATTACTTTCTCTTAAAATCTATTTACCTTCTATTTTTATTTTTAAAGATTTTTTTCCCTTTTCATCCTGTATTTCTCTTAAGGCATTATCTGTTATGTTTGTGTATCTTTCTGTTATGCCTACTTTAATCTTCATTTCTAAAACTTTTTTTCTTTTACTTCTTTTCTTGAGTTCTATCTCCTCTCCTAAGATTTTTTAACTCTGATTTATGTTGTTCTTTCATGGCATATATCATTTGGAAGATATTCAGCTTACTTTATATTTGTGGTTATCTGTATGCTTAGAAAGTTATCTAGTTATTAATATCATTCATTCACTTAACATATATTTATTGAGCATCTACTATGTGGAGGAATTGTAGCCTGAAGTTGAGCCACACTAGCCAATCATTAGATGCATGAAAGAGAGTTAAAAGCTTACTATTTTATGCAACTAAACCTTTGTAGTTGGTTGTTATGTAACATCTAATACAACATATTTGCAATTACCACATCATGTGCTTAGTTTCAGCAACAGAATACTGTACACCATGAATTCTCCATTCTTGCAATTTTCATTTTGACCTTCTCAACTGTATTTATGTCATTAGAAATATTTTAGGTGGGTGCGCAGTGGCTCATGCCTGTAATCCTAGCACTCTGGGAGGCCAAGGTGGGAGGATCACTCAAGCTCAGGAGTTCCAAACCACCCTGATCAAGAGTGAGACCCCGTCTCTACTATAAATAGAAAGAAATTAATTGGCCAACTAATATAAATTAGCCAGGCATGGTAGCACATGCCTGTAGTCCCAGCTACTCGGGAGGCTGAGGCAGGAGGATTGCTTGAGCCCAGGAGTTGGAGGTTGCTGTGAGCTAGGCTGATGCCACGGCACTCACTCTAGCCTGGGCAATAAAGTGAGATCCTGTCTCAAAAAAAAAAAAAAAAAGAGTGAGACCCCGTCTCTACTAAAAAAAAAAATAGAAATCAATTGGCAAACTAAAAATATATAGAAAAAATTAGCCAGGCATGGTAGCACATGCCTGTAATCCCAGCTACTCAGGAGGCTGAGGCAGTAGGATCGCTTGAGCCCAGGAGTTGGAGGTTGCTGTGAGCTAGGCTGACACCATGGCACTCACTCTAGCCTGGTGAGACTCTGTCTCAAAAAAAAAAAAGAAAGAAAGAAAGAAAGAAACATTTTAAGGAAGATATACTTTCAAAAAATTAAAAGTTTGAATTTTTTTTCCACAAACGAATGACATATTTGTGATCTAGAAAATTATTGCGTCACAATCCTTTCCCTCAAATCTTTGTAAATGTTGCATCATTATCTTCCAGCATTTAGTTCAACAAAAAAAATTTTGCTTGGTTTTTTTTTCCCCCTTTGTAGGCTGTAGATTTTTTTCTGAAAAATGCTTGCAAGACAATTCTGTGAATTCTTAAAATTAAAAAAGAAAAATTTCCAGGATATTTTTATTATAGGCTTTTGCAATTCATTTCTACCTTGAATTCAGGGAGCTGTTTTACCTGCAGACTAATGAATGCTCATGAACATTTTCAATTATATTTTTCATTATTTCTTCTGTATTTCATGTATATATAAAACTGATTATGACAATTACTCTGAGGGCTTCTCAGCCCTCTGACTCCTATATTTATTTCTTTAAATCTCATTAATTTCACCTTTTTGTCTTTTTTCTCTCCATTTTGGGGTGAGAGATGGTTTTTCAATTTTTTTCCCATATCAATAATTTTTTACAGTCACTTTAGTCTGTTAGGTTTACTGAGTTGTGATTTATAAACAGGAAGACTCACTCTTTTTAATTCTGTAGTTTTCAATTCTCCCAGGGGAATGAATGTTGGAGAACAATCCCTCCTTTGGACCTGGGCAACAGCAGTCCCTATCCTGGTCTAGTGCTAAAAAAAAGCTCAATTTGTTTCTTTCCAGCTATGCCCCACTTGAAAGGCATCTGTGGAGGCAAGAAAACAAGTTCACTCAGAACCCGTGCCTTATTTCTTATGTATGTATGTATTTTTTGCTTTGTCACCCAGGCTAGATTGCAGTGACCCAGCCAGAGCTCAATGGAGCCTTAAAATCCTAGGTTCAGCAATCCTCCTGCCTCAGCCTCCCAAGTAGCTGGGACTACAGGTGTACACCACCATGCCTGACTACTTTTATTTATTTTTTGTAAAGACAGGGTCTCACTATGTTGACCAGGCTGGTCTGTTACTCTTGGCCTTAAATGATCCTCTAGCCTCAGCCTCCCAAAGTGCTGGGATTACAGGCCTGAGCCACTGTACTAACTCGCCTTCACTTTTAGACAATGCTTTGAGTGCCTGATCCCTAACATTCTTTGTTCACACAGCCCCAAGAAATCTAACAGCAACTTTTCCCCAGATCCTTTCTACTGAGGGCCAACAGCCCTTTTAGCATCTATATCCCTAGGCCAAAAATGTAGCCAAAAGGTTCCTAAGCCCAAGAGGTGACCAAAGGGCAGGGTAAGGGTAGGTTTGCCAAATAAAATACAGGGATACCTTGTTAAATTTGAATTTCAGATAAACAATAAATAATGTTTTAGTATAAGTTCCAAATATTGTATCAGATAAACTTAAATTTAAAAAATTCATTGTTTACTTAAAATTCAAATTTAACTGTGCATCTTTTTTTCTTTTTAACAAATATGGCAACCCCAGTTGGGGGTCAGAGTTGGACATTTGAGTTGGCTGTCTGTCCACATATGCATGAACACAAAGCCCCGAATGGTAACGAATTGAGCAGGAGAAAGTGACACAAAGAAGGCAGTACCCATGGGCCAACTAATTCTCTCTTCCATTCACCCACGTTCTGACACAACAGGAATGCTAAGTTCAACCTGGCTTCCCTGGTCATTTTCAAAATAGGAAGAACATATTTTACTTTTAAGTTTTGCTAGGTTATTTTATTTTATTTTTTTAGGCTAGTCAAGCGAAGAAGCAGTGGGAGTGGAGAAGGAACAAAGGAATCTGTAACTGGTTGTGATCATTTAGTTGTAGACAACACTGCATTCAGACCAGCCTGCTAGGTGCATTTATAATTAACTATTTAGACATACGGCATGAGGGTCTTCATTTTCACTCTGGAGCCAACCTTAGTGCAAAAGTCAAAGGGTGGTACTGGTGCAGAAAATCCCCCTAGGAGGTCAACGTTATTGTCAGGCTGCACGTGGTGGCTCACCCCTGTAACCCCAGCACTTGGGGAGGGGGGAGAAAAATCCTTTGAAGCCAGGAGTTACACAATGACACATGTTATACAATTATACAATTCATTTGGATACATAGTATACGACTCACAACAACGATTTACAGAACAATGCTAATTTCAGTTTACAGTGGCTAATGTGTCTGTCTGGCAGAATAATTTGTAGCAATTCCTCTTTTAAGGGAAATGCCAAGCAGAAGATCAAATTACAACTCAGAAAATTTCCTGTTTAGCCTTCGGTTGGAACAAAGGGAGTCAATATTCTCAAGGTAATTTTTGCATCAAGGTAGGTGAATTATCATATTCCACAGGAAGAACAATCTGGCCAACAGCGGGGCTGGCTGTGCAAACGCTTTGGAGGTCTACAACCCCGGGGGGGGGTTTTACCCCCTTACTATTTTACATTTGCAGACCTCAGTTTCCTTATTTTGTAAACACAAGCTCCTTGTAAGGACTGAGATTATACACTGAAAACATTTAGCACCATATCATTATTATGCTATCCATATTTAATATTATCGATTAAAATACACTGGATATATACTAATGACATTATCATATTATTGTGTTGTATTCGCTGTCATTGTGCAGTTCACCATTGTTCTGTTTCACAACAATCTGGCTAACCTGGAGAAACAGGACAAAGCTGCAGAACAATCTCACCCTCACAACCGAGCGGAGTCGAGTACGAATCACCATGGCAACCGCTCGCGCCCAGACATTTTCCGCTCGCGCGTCGCTCTGGAAGGGGGGGAAAAAAAGGCCCAGGCTGCGTGTTGCGTCATCACTCCGCGCTCGCTAGGTTTCTCCGTGCTGTTTTGGAAGGTCCCGGCCCGGCTACCGTCGCACCACGCCAGGCATTATTATTAGTATTATTATTTATTTTTTTTTCTTTTTCCTTCGCAACCTTTGTGACATAGCACCGAGGCTCCAAGACCGTAAGTTCTGAGGGAAGAAGGCAGACGAGCGAGCGAGCGAGGGCTGAAGGAGACGCCGTAGCGCAGTCTCCACCTCTGAACCGCCCCGGGTTCTCAGTCCTATCCGCTTCCTCCCAGCTGGGCTCGCGCCGCGTCTACTTCCGGGCGGGTGCCCGCCAGCACGGCCTCCGCCGCTCCCCTCCTTTGGCCCCTTTGTGTCCCCGCAGTGTCGAGGCGCGGGCCCTGGCGGGTCCTTTCTCGAGGCAGGGGGCCCGTAGCGCAGGGGACCTCGCGGTGTAGGCGGGCGGGAGGCCTGCTGGGGGTCAGGCTGGGGACGCGCCCGCGAGTGCCGGGGTAAGAGGAGGTTGCACGAGGGTCAGCTCGTGGTTTGAGTGAGGAGGGGTGGGTGGGGGAGGCGGACGAGAGGGAGTGAAAAGCAATTGGAAATTTAAAAAGACACCCCTGTCCACCTTCTCTTCGGCGTGGCCTAACAATGAAGCGCAGCCATAATAGCCCCCAGCCACTGGCATGTTTGCGGGCCCACGATTGCCGTGAGAATGAACTGCTATGGCTTTGTATTGTTTTCATGGCCTTTCCTTTTCATTTTTTTTTTTTCCCCTCAGATAGTTTATATAAAGCTCCCAGCCCCCTAGGGTGGTGGTTTCTACCAATATGAATCTTTTCAACCTGGACCGTTTTCGCTTTGAGAAAAGGAATAAGATTGAGGAGGCGCCCGAAGCAACCCCCCAACCCTCCCAGCCTGGCCCTTCTTCACCAATTTCTCTTAGTGCTGAAGAGGAGAATGCTGAAGGGGAAGTTAGCAGGGCAAACACTCCTGATTCAGATATAACTGAAAAAACAGGTGAGTTACAATGTTGCCAATTGATGTAGCATCGAGGAATATTTTTTAAGAGTTGCAAGGCAGAAGGGATTCTGATTTTTATTCTTGATGTCATACATATTGATGTATTGTCCTCCAGTGTGCCCTTTTAAATACAGCTTTGGGACTGTCACAGGCCCCACGTACCTTCAAGTGAGCACCTGTCTATTTTTGCTTCATTTTTATATGAGTTCCTGGAATATGGCCCAATGATGGAAGTTGAAATCAGAATTTAGGTCATCCTTAGGTCAGAATTGTTGATACTGGAGGAGGAATGTTGGTGATTCAGACCTATGATAGATTTTGAGGCTATTTCCATTTCATTCCAGTATTCCTTCAAAAAAGTATTGATCATCTACTATGAGCTAGACATTGGTCAGGGTGCCTGAAGACAACCTCTTACGCACAAGTGAAGACCAGATCATATTCTTATATTGTCTCCACCTGACTTCCTGGATATCCCCAGAATGCACATGAATAATTGGTATTCTTGTGGTGCATCAACCATTTTTATCCTAATCAGCAGATTGTCACAGACAATAGCATTTGAGAATAAGCCACAACTTTAAGATTTCCATTCTAATCTGTGTTCATTGAGCAGTTAACAATTAGAGGAATATATTTGAACTCTTACTGTGTTTTAGGCATAGTGCTAAGTGCTTCCGTTTCTTTTTTTTCTTTTTTTTTTTTTTGAGACAGAGTCTCACTCTGTTGCCAGGTAAGTGAATGCGGGTCAGCCTAGCTCACAGCACTCCTCAATTCATGGCTCAAGCATCCTTCTTTGCCTCAGTCCTCCGAGTAGCTGGACTACAAGGCATGACACATTGCCCGGCTGATTTTTCTATATGTATTAGTTGGCCAATTAATATCTTTCTATTTATGGTAGAGTTCTTGCTCAGGTTGGTTTCTATCTCCTGAGCTCAAACAATCTGTCACTCGGCTCCAAGGAGCTAAGATACAGGCGTGAGCCACCGCACCTGGCCAGAGTACTTCAATTTCTGTCATTTACTTGCACAATAATACTACAAGATAGGCACTAATAATTCACATTTTGCAGGAATGAAACTCGGAGGTCATAAGGAACTTGGTAGAGCCTGAGTTTAAGTCCAGGCAGTCTGATTCCTGTGCATAAACTCTTAATAATTATACAGTTTCTTTTTTTTTTCTGACCACTCATTCATCAGTCATACATTATACAGTTTCTTATGAAAGTAGAAAGGAATGTTGGAAGTTTTGTTTCACTGCTTACCTCAGTGATACCTTTTTTATTCAAAATTCAGTATTTCACAAGCAGCTTTTAAATTAATGTAGCCTGAAAGATTGGTAACATACATGTCTTGGTATCTTTTTGTTTGCCACTCTTAAATGTAACAGTGATGGCGAATTCCTTTCAAGTTATCATTAGAATAACATTTTTAAATACTTTGGTGTAATTGGAACTTGGTAGGATGATTGGTAGATTGGATTAAGAGATAATTAGGAGTCAGATTTCCAAAGGCTTTGATTATCTAAGGAGTTTTGAACTTGTCTAAATGCTGTAAGGAATAACTGAAGGATTTTTTTTAATTTTCTTTATTTTTTGAGACAGGGTTTTGCTCTGTTACCTGTGCTAGACTGCAGTGGCGTCATCATAGCTCACTGTAACCTTAAACTCCTGGGCTCAAGGGCTCATCATGCCTCAGCCTCCCAACTGGCTGGGACTACAGGCCATTTAACATCACTACACCAGCCCAGCTAAGTTTTTCTATTTTTGTATAGAAGGGGTCTCCTCAGGCTGGGTCTCACTGTGTTGCTCTGGCTGGTCTCAAACTCCTGGCTTCCAGTGATTCCCTCACCCTGGCCTCCCAGCCTCCAAAAGTGCTAGGAGTAACAACTGAAAGATTTTTTATTTATTTATTTATTTGAGACAGAGTCTCACTCTTTGCCCTGAGTAGAGTGCCATTGTGTCAGCCTAGCTCACAGCAACTTCAGACTTCTGGGCTCAAGCAATTCTCCTGCCTCAGCCTCCCAAGTAGCAGGGACTACAGGTACACACCAGGCCCGGCTAATTTTTCTTTTTTTAGTAGATGGGTCTTGCTTTTGCTGAGGCTGATCTCAAACTCTTGAACTTAAGCGATCCTCCCACCTCTGCCTCCCAGAATGCTAGGATTTACAGATGTAAGCCACCATGCCCAGCCAACAACTGAAGTATTTAAGCACAAGAGTGACATCATTATGTTCATTCTTTCAATAGATATGTGATTTGCATAACATGCTGTAGTTAATATCTGAGCATCCAGGTATTTTAGTGCTTTTCCAGTGAATTCATCTGTTTCTTATGTGGTTAAACATGGCAGGGAAGGCCAAAGAAGTCTGAGGTGTAGACATGGGATTTTGAGTCCTTTAGAAGCCTCTGCTTCATTTTAGTTAAATGTGAGACATTAGACAAGTCAATATCTGTGGTTCACAATTTATTCCTAATAGTAAAAGAACTTCGTATACTGGATTTCAGTGGAATGTTTTAGTTACTTATGAATATTGGTAATGTGAAATCTTTAATTGCCTTTTATGATCAGTAGATATTTTTCTGCTTTTTTCCCTAAGGATATTCTACTCCTCTTTATTGGGACATACATAAATTTCATATATAAGTTTCTCATAAACCGAGATTGCTTGGGAAATCACATGGTCAATCTTGATGACATTAGGCAATAAGAAAATTAAATTTGTTATAGGTATGGTGAGAATTTATCTTCATAGTGGAGCACTTTAAAAAACTTGTTATAAATGATATTGTGAATTTGGGGCTGGGCATGGTGGCTCACACCTGTAATCTTAGCACTCTGGGAGGCCAAGGTGGGTGGATCCTTTGAGCTCAAGAGTTCAAGACCAGCCTGAGCAAGAGCGAGACCCTGTCTCTACTAAAAATATAAAGAAATTAGCTGGACATCTGAAAAAATATAGAAGAAATTAGCTGGGCATGGTGGCGCATGCCAGTAGTCCCAGCTACTTGAGAGGCTGAGGCAGAAGGATCACTTGAGCCCAGGAGTTGGAGGTTGCTGTGAGCTAGGCTGATGCCACGGCACTCTAGCCTGGGCAACAGAGTGAGAGTCTGTCTCAAAAAAAAAAAATGATAGTGTGAATTTTGGAGAATCTTGTAAACTAAGACTGATAAGTGTAGACGTTACAGTATAGGTACTAGGCATCCATTAAAGACTTCATGGATAGAATAGCAAAATGATGGAAGAAAGTTATTTTATGAAACAGTTTAGCAGTAGTGACTACTGTTGATAGAGGGTAGGGTTTGAAGGGAAAGAAATCACTTAGGGGCTGGGCGTGTGCGGTGGCTCACACCTTTATCCTAGCACTTTGGGAGGCCGAGGCAGCGGATTGCTTGAGGTCAGGAGTTAGAAACCAGCCTGAGCGAGATCCTGTCTCTACTAAAAATAGAAAGAAATTAATTGGCCAACTAAAAATATATTGAAAAAATTAGCTGAGCGTGGTGGTGCATGCCTGTAGTCCCTGCCAGCTACTCGGGAGGCTGAGGCAGGAGGATCACTTGAGCCCAGGAGTTTGAGGTTGCTGTGAGCTAGGCTGACACCACGGCACTCTAGACAGGGCAACAGAGTGAGACTCTGTCTCAAAAAAAAAAAAGAAAAGAAACCACTTAGGAAACTCTTAAAATCTATTGATGGCTATGGAAATGGAGAAGGAGATTTGAGCTATTTCAGAGTGATGAACAGCAGAGTTTTATGACTAGACCCCTGGTAAAAATGAGATAAGATGAATGTTAAGATTTTTAGTGTAGGTAATTAAAAAAAAATGGTAGTGTTATGCATCAGGATAGATAGTAAATACCTATTATAAGGCATTGGGCAGGCCTTTAAGAATTCAGATAAGAATCACAGATCCTGTGGGCAATTGCTAAGGTAATTTAGCCTGGTGGGGGAAGGAAGGCGGGAGGGAAACTATTAAGTGTTGAACT